CATTCTACCAGCTGAGCTACATCCCCAGAACTTTTTTTTCTTTTGCTAAAAAGCAAGTTAATAGGCATCTACTTGTAGAGTAGATAGCAGTATTCCTTCAATGTTAGTCTGATTTCATTCATCCCATGCTATGTCAGGGAATGGCCTTATTTTGGGGAAGTATATACTGAGCATGGCGGGGTGAAGTCTTGTATATTATTATAAGGACCAGGCTTAATAATATACTTCCCAGGGGCCCAGAAGAGAAACTATGAACAGTGAAAATTATTTTCAGGAAAAGAATCTAAGTACACTGAGCTCTTTGTCCATCTACTTTATTCCTCTGGGATAAGATCCTGTCTACACAGCTTTAGTTCTGTTCTCATGCCTAGCTCCTTTTTTGCCTAATTTCTCTCTATATTTATCTGCTGTCCCCTCTTAAGTTCTATCTTAATTCTCTCATCTTAGTTCCACCCCATCTAGGTTCTCATCCATCTAGTTCCTTCCCATCTCAGCTCCTCCCCCATCTCCTTCTTTCTCTTCTTGTTCTTCCCCATCTGGCTCTTCCTCATCTCGTTCCTCTAGTACTCTCTTCTAGCCCTTCAATCTAGTTCTTCTCCATCTCTGTTTGCTCCTTTCCAGTTCTTACCCATCTAGTTCTTCCATTCTTTTTTTCTTCTTTGTCTTGTCCTTCTCTGAAAATAAAACTGCCTCTTTATCCCTTTGACCCTTATCTCTCCAAGCTATCTCTGCTCCAGACATTTCTGGCCAGTGTGCTCGGTTGCTAGGCAACTTGGTAGGCAACTTCTGTAACAGCTAGATGTACCTGTAAGTTGGAACCCTTCAGTTCTGAGTTAACTGTTAAGGGTGGATCTAAAACTAGAGATAAGACTTCAGAAAGGAGAAAGTTAAGCTTAATTAGCACACCTGCCAGGCCTTCTCAAACAGGTAGTCTGGATGCTTTGCTTAAGTCTGTTCTAGAGAGTACAGAGGTATCTCTGATAAGATACTTTCATCCATCTGGGGATGGTCCTGGCCAGATGCTGCTAATGACGATAATTACAGGGAGTCTTGAACTGAGGTTCTAGCTGCACATAGTCGTCAGCACAGAAGGTTATCTAAATATTCCATTAGTAGAGGGGAAATGGTACCCAATAAATGATGGAAAAGCTACAATAGCACATGAGAAATTCATAGTGGGAAACAGCTAATAATCAAAAGCCAATATCACCAAGACTTCTTGAGCCTCAGCTTGACCTCTGGAAGGTCCTTGGCTTCTTCCAGGTATTATTAGCTTGTCATAATCAGCTGAAATCCTACTTTATATATATTTGCTGCTTACAGCAGTGAAGATATCAGATCTGTAAATTATTCTCAAATGAGAAGTCTTTGTATTTTTTTTCCTTTTTTTGGACAAGGTCCAACTATGTAGCCCTGGGTAGCCTAGAACTTGCTATGTAGATTGACTGGCTTCAAACTCACAGAGATCTGCCTTCAGTCTGTGCTCCCTGAATGCTGGGGTTAAAGGAGTGTGCCACCACACCTACCCCAACTTCCATTTTTTTATTATTATTACATTTTCTAAATTTATTTTACATACCAACCACAGTTTCCCCTCCCTCCTCTCCTCCAGTTCCCTCCCCCCACCTCCTTTCTACACGCCCTCCATCCATGCCTCAGAAAGGGGCAGGCCTCCATGGGAGTCAACAAAGCATGGCCTATCAAGTTGAGGCAGGACCAATCTCCTCCCCTCTGCATCAAGGCTGAGCCAGGCATCCCACCATAGGGAGTAGGTTCCAAAAAGCCAGCTCATGCACCAGGGACAGATCCTGGTCCCCTTGCTAGGGGCCCCACAAACAGACCAAGCTACACAACTGTCATCCACATGCAGAGGGTCTAGGCCGGTCCCATGAAGACTCCCTAGCTGTCGGTCTAGAGCCCATGAGCTCCCACAAGCTCAGGTCAGCTGTCTCTGTAGGTTTCCCCATCATGATCTTGACTCCACCCTAACTACTACTTTTTAATATTCACTTCTTTGTCCCTGATGATTTTTCTGTACTCTATAAGTGGAGATAGGTGGAGGACTCTTGGAGCCATAGCCTGGGTAAGGACAAGGTCACCTTAGGTGTGATAGGATTAGAAAACCCAATCCTTTTATTTGTCCTTGATCATGAAAAAGTTTCTGTTGACACTACCTGCCTGTCTCAGCCACACTGATGGGCACCGAGGTAGAGGTAGGTGCAGGCTTGGTGAGCCAGACACCTCAGTATGAAGGCTCTGAGCAGGGCCTGAGCAAGCAAGTCCAAGAACTTCCTCTCTGCATCTCAGGACAGCCCCAGTCTAGTGCCCACCAGGGACCCACCACACCATCCTCGGATACCATGCAGAGTGAGAGCCCCAGTACACAGTGTATCCATGTGTGTCACCAAGCATGTAGGGAGCACACTGTGTGAACAAGACCAGGGCCACAGCTAGAGACCTGGTACCCCCCGGTGAGCAATGAACAGCAGCCATCTCAGGGGATCCACTGCCCTACCGACACAGTCTGAAGACCTCCCAACTCTAGCCATATTTGAAGTTAGAGGAGCAAGTATTCAATGTGGGATGCCCCCCAAAATGATTAGGTCCTTCTCGTAGGAAGAGTCACCTGGAAGATGGCAGAGGGGTCCCTGTAGTGGTCCAGGATGGCGTTGGGGTGGTCCCTCCTTCCTGCAGGTGTCTGGAACTCGTAGCTGACCTTGATGGTGATGTTGGAAAAGCAGTCGTCCTCACAAAGCTGTGCGTGGCCGGGGAAGACAAGGTCAGAGGTGGATGTGGCGAAGAGGACAAGAAGAAATGAACAGTGACAGCAATGACCAGGAAATCTTCCAAAGGATCCAGGCCCTCAAGTAAGCCACCAAGAGCTTTGGAAGTTTCCCCAGTCTGTCCCACCCATGGGTCTCGGGGCTCTCACCCCAGTACAAAGGGATTCAACTTAGACTTTATGTGGAGGGCAGACAGGAGCCATGGAGGGAAGAGTGTTGGTCCCATGTGAGTTAACAAAGATCTCCAACCAACATGGAGGGCTATTGAGAAGTAAAACCTGAAAATAGGAGGTGGGTAGAGGAGGCCATTTGCTACACTCTATTTAAAGGAGCTTTCTTGTCAGAATAAGAGCCCTGAGGGCTGGTGAGATGGCTTGGTGTGAACAGGTTACAGGTGTTGCTCCCAAGCCCGACAACCTGAGATTAATTTCCAGCACCCACATTGTAGGAGAGAACTGGCTTCCACAGGTTGCTCTCTGACCTTCATATGTACATTGTGGAATGCACAAATAAACAAATAAGAAGCTTTGAACATGAGAGCAATAAACTTGACTGCCTGGTAAAAATACAGTTAGACTCTTTTTTAAATACTTATTTTATTATTTTAACTATGTATATGTATGGGGGTATGTGCACATGAGTACAGGTGCCTAAAGAAGCCAGACATGTTGGATTCCCTGGAGCTGAATTTACAAAGCCCCCAATGTGGTGCTGGGAACCAATTTTGGGTCCTCTAGAAAAGCAATATGCACTCCTAACCACTCAGCTATCTCTCCAGCTCTGTGCCTTTATTTTTAGAGGGCTATAGATGTTCTAGAAACTTTCCTAAGCCAAGTAACAACTAAAAGTGCATTCAAAGCAGAATTTATGAGGTTTTTTTTTTTTTCTGAAACAAATGGTCTATATAGTTGAAAGTTCTAAGACCTGTTAGAATCTGAGTTCCGACAAGGCCTTTTAAAAACCATGCCTCTCAATATCTTTGCCAAGATTTCTTTTTTTAAATAACTTTTTTTTTTTTTTTAAACAGCTCTGGCTGTCCTGGAACTTGCTTTGTAGACCAGGCTGGCTTCAAACTCACAGACATTGACCTGCCTCTGCCTCCCAAGTGCTGGGATTAAAGAAGAGCACCACCACTACCCAGCTAAATAACATTTTAAAATAACTTGGTCTTTCTAGTTCTGCCTTCTAAAGGATTATGTATTTATACATTGTATGTGTATGTGTGTTTTGCCTGTATGTGTGTCTGTGCTCCACGTGAGTACCTAGTGCCCTCGGAAGTCACTAGAAGGCACTGGAGCCCCTGGCACTGGAGTTACAGATGGTTGTGAGCCACCATGTGGGTGCTGAGAGTCAAACCCGGGTCCTCTGGAAGAGCAGTCAGTGTTCTTAACCACTAAACTATCTCTCCAGGCCTCTGATTCTGCCTTTTAATCATTCTGTTTTTCTGATGTAGATTCACTGAAGGCCCTTCAGCCTATTGTTACTATCAGATTAGACAACACAATGACACCAGGCCCCTCCCTGTCCAGCCTCTAGGAAGCTCAGGGACGTGGTCTGTGTTCAGTTTTGGTAGATGCCTTCCCTCTCTCCTGCTCTTTCTCCCTTCTCCCCTTGCTCTTTCCTTCCCAGTGGACTAAACACAGGGCCTCACACACACACAGCGTGCAAAGCACTCCCCATGTCACTGAGTCACACCCACAGCCCCGGCCGCTCGGGTTTGGACTTCTGGTAGGATTCTATTACCAGTGTCTCCTGTGATTCTTGATGTGTTGTGGTTTCAGTTGGCTCATTTGTGTGGAGAGGGTCCTGCATTGCACACATCTTCTCTGGGATGTCGTCTAAATTCTCTGCTTACCTCCTCCTCCGTGGGGATGAGACGGAAGTGCTCACACAGAGAGGACTCCCCGCTCCACTTCCTAAGGGAGCTCTGACAGTTGCTCGCATCTGCGCACTGCAGCCTCTTCCTCTCCTTGGTCACATCCACATCCACCGTGAAGTTGAGTGACATCTCTCTAAGGCCTGGGGTTGAAGACCAGATCTTCTGATGAGGCCAGAAAGGTCAAGGCCCAGACAAAGAGCCCCGGCCTGCTAAGGCTCTGTAAGCCCCTGCTGAACAGTGTCCCTCTGTGGTGTGTGGGCACTTCCTTGGGGCCAGACTCCCAGGTTTTGTTTTTGTTTTTGTTTTTGTGTTTAGACAAGGTGTCACTATATACCCCTGACCTGGAACCTGCTATGTAGACTAAGCTGGCCTTGAATTCACAGAGCTCTACCTGCCTCTGCCTCCTAAGTGCTGGGATTAATGCCCGGCTATTCACCATCATTTTGAGGGTGATTTCCAATCCCCATTAGTTCTGGTATCCCTGGCTAGGGTTTCTCGGTGTTCTGGATCCATACCCAGCACATTGCTTGGTTAAGTCCAATCTTAGGGAAAGAGAGTTTAGGCAGGTGTGCTGACTAGTTTCATGTCAACTGGCACAAGTGACAGTCCTTTGGAAGAGGGGACCGAGTTGAGGAAATGTCCCCACTAGACTGGCTTGTGGAAAAGCCTGTGGTGCGTCTTCTCGATTGATGGTTAATGTAGGAGGGCCCCGCTCACTGTGAGCAGTGATAGCCCAGGCTGGTGGTCCCAGGTGCTATGAGAAAGCAGGCTGAGCAAGCCATAAGGAGCAAGCCAGTAAGCAGCATCCCTCCACAACTTCTGCTTCCAGGTTCCTGCCTTTACTTCTTGCCCTGAATTTCCTGGATGATGGACCGCAAACCGTAAACTGTAAGAAACCCTTTATTCCCCAAGTTGTTTTTGGTCATCATGTTTTTATCACAGCACTAAGAAACCGGGAGAGTAAAGTGGAAGGGGGCGGGGGAAGGAGAGAAGGGGAGAAGAAGACGAGGAGGAAGGGGAAGGGAGAGAGGGAGGTTGAAGAAAGGAGGAGGGAGAAGAGGAGGAAGGGGAAAGGTACAGGAAGTGGAGAGTGAAATCATGAAATCTGAGCACAGCGGGGCTAGAACTATCTTGGAGATTGCGTGAGTCAAGTCCCTTACTGTGCAGAACAGAAACCAGGACCTAGCAAGAGAAGGACGCCTACCCGGTGTCACCCAGCCCTCCATAGTCTCTGTGTCCTAAGAATAGTAAGTCTACCCTTTTTTCTTTCCTTTTTGAAACAGGCTTTCATGTAGCCCAGGCTGTTCTTGAACTCAGTATGTAGCTGAGAATGACCTTGAACTCTTGATCCCTCTGCCCATCTCCCTTGTGCCGGGATTTCAAGCTCACACGTCTATACCAGGCCAGGTCTGTTGTTTTCTACCCTTGGGTCTTCATGACCCTCACCCAAGAGGACTGCTTCATGACTTGCAGGGAGTCGTCGCTAGAATGAGGTTTAAACCTCGGGGACTTTGCTGGGAGACTGTTGGAAGGGAGCTCTGGGCCCTGGACACCTGGGCTGTGACAACCACACCCTCCTTCCTCTGGCCTTCTTCCTTCTGAAAACACACCCCCGGAGCGTCAGATAGGGATGGAAGAGCAGCCAGGCCTCCAGCATGTTCTCCAAGGTGTAAATCGTGGAGAGAGAGTCTCTGGGGTCCCTGCAATGCTCAGGTGGGGAGCAGAGGTGAGAATAGGACAGCTGCTGCCTTTCTGAACACAGTTCCAGAAAACCCCCTCCTGCCAACACCACGCCGATCTCAGCTAATCTGCTTCCTGGGGCATAGTCATTTAACCAAAGTCAAGACACAGGAGCCAGGCTCCAGGAGAGGGACCAGGACCGCCCCTACAAGCCAATCAGGAAAGACGGCAACACCACCCGGGCACCCCAGGCAGCTATTATTACCTTGCTTAGAGGCCTCACTTGAGGAGCCAACTTCAAAACACAGTTCTACATCCATCTCGCCTTGGAAGGCCATCGGCAGTAAAGTGGGGGTGAAGGTCATGGACACGGTCAGGTCAACCACGGGTCGTGAGCTGAAGACCAGGAAGAGGTCCGTGAGAAGTGAGCACAGATGCTGTCCCATTCAACAGCTCCAACAGGATATATTAACAGTGGGGAAAGAGACAAGGCTTTGCTCTTGGGGGGAAGCAGACAACCGCCAATAAAGAGGGATAGAGACACACAAGGTGCTGGCGATGCCATCATAAGGTAAGGAGACAGAAATGGAGGCTGCTTAGATCAGGTGGTCCGAAGGCACTCCCGATAAGGAGGCCTTGAAAGTGAAAGCCAGTAACAAGAAAGAGCCAGCTCTGTGAAGGTCTGAGGAGGAAGCATTCCAGGCAGAAAAATCAGCTGGTGCAAAGGGCCTGTGCCAGGACGAGGCTGGTTTGTTTGAGAAACACCAAGGACAGAGAGCCTGGAACATAGTGAAGTGGACTGTGGTAACAAGCCGAGGACTGGGGGGGTGGGCGGGGCCAATCACAGACAGCCCTGGAGGGTGGGCAGGGCCAATCACAGACAGCCCTGGAGGGTGGGCGGGGCCAATCACAGACAGCCCTGGAGGGTGGGCGGGGCCAATCACAGACAGCCCTGGAGGGTGGGCAGGGCCAATCACAGACAGCCCTGGAGGGTGGGCGGGGCCAATCACA